GCGACTCGCAATTGGTTTCCTGAGTTGGCCAACTTCAACTTGCAGCTTTTTAGCCTGGTCGGTCAGTTGTTGAACAGCTGTGTACAAATCATTATGTGTTGTGCTGCACACAGTTGTCGTGGCCTGCTTAGCCTGTGGCGATACTTCACACATCTACATTGCGTTTGTTGTTGACGCCTCCAGCATCTTATCAGCTAACTTGGCAAGTTTATTTAGAACATCCTCTTCCCAAATTGCCAATACCGGACGAATCGATTTGGGGATTTCGCTGAGAAAAGCGTACGAATGATTTGTTCGCTATTTGGATCCGGTGCAAGACGTCTCATGTTCGAAAGTATTTCTGACGGCTACATACCCGTAGTATCTCCACCTTGTAGTAGGCGCCGCAACTTGGATTAGGCTGATTCCGCAAATTTCCCTAACAAACGTGCCTTGAGTGTTTCATATTTATTGTTCGTTGGGGGATTTGTAATTAGATCTTCAGCAACCATCACAATCTCTTCAACTAAATTTACTGCCACCCAATCAAATTTGTCTGTGTCTTCTCGAATATTATTTAAACGAAAGACTCGTTCCAGTTGCGCGAACCATACTGATGGGTTGGTTTTATTGAAGTTCGGGACTCTCACATTGTGTCTCATGTTCATTTCAGTGGAGTCTACTTGTGGATTTACAGTTTGTTCTGCATTTACAGCCATGTTGTCGTGCGCCTGTCTGGAACGCAGCTTGCTCGTGTACTCTTGCATAATATGCACTGCTTTGTAGTGTTTTTGCTTGATTTTCCAACGGAGTCACCACCTTAGCTCTTCCAATTAATCTTGTTCTGCAACTTGTGATGACGATGTGCGTGTTGGATAAGCCCGTTAATAGTTTTAGTGAATGTTGTTTAGCGTTTCTAAAACTAATGTTACTTTGCCCTTTTTTTCTTTTCTTAAAAAAATTAGTTCTGTAAGTTTTTCACTTTGCGCGTCGGGGTCACCACTTTAGTCGTTTCTTTTGACTATTTTATTTAAAATACACTATTATACAAAACTACTTTCTTCAATCTACAAAACAATACAACTTTACTCTAGGAAAATTAACCATCAACTATTTACATGTGCTTTTATGTTTTAAGCATTGCCAGGTGTATTTTTTCTTCAAGAATGACAATTGGATATTTTCTGGGTTGCCGTATTGGTTGTACTGTCGCCACACTACCACATTGGGTTGGCAACCCGGTTGTGATACAAGTGTTTAAAAAAGTGATCTCCTTAAAAATTACTGAAATATAGTAATTATTTTATAAAAATTTTTTTTTTTATATAACTATATAAAGTGTCAGTAAATTATTGTGAATATAAAAGAGGGTGAAAGTCAATTTAACATTTGTTAATAAACTTAACAAACTTACTTTGATTTTTAAAATGTGGTCACTGAAGCACCTAAATAACAAAAAAAAGGCGCTAAAATATACACATGATAAATAAACAATATAAGTAATATAAAAAATAAAATAGTACCTATAATATCAGTGTTAAACAATAGTTAAACTATTTGGTTAGTGCCACGGTTACAAAAACAATTATTAAACAACAGCCCTTAAAAGTAGACTATTATTAATATTTTTAAATTTGTAAACTTTTTTTAAATCAAGTTTAAAAGAAACATATCATTTTTTGTAACTATTTGCTATCGTGATTGTTTTTGTGTTGCGTGTTCATGTGTAATGGGCGAAGAAATATTCTATTAACTTCTCCAGAAACAACTAACATCGCCAAAAAAGCTATGCCGAATAGTAACAATAATTGAGCATCACAAGATGTCTTCTCTTGGACCGTTTTTGATGAACGCTTGACAAGTGTTCAGGATATCAAACTTGAGAACGTTGCTAAGAAAGATGATCTGCAAGTATTGAGAGAAGAAATCAATTCTTTAAAGCAAGAAAATTCTTCACTCACCACATAGATAAAGACGGTAGACCCACGAATATTGTTGTAAAAGGCTTATCGTGCGACACAGTTATGTCTGCTGAAAAGGAAATTCTCAAACTGTGCAGTAATGTGCTAAAAGCAAATGTATCTGTGTGCATTGTAAAAAAACCGCAGGGTAATGGCATTTTTATTGCAACACTTGGCTCAGAATCGCAGGATAGACAGTTATTATCCGCTGTGACGAAATTAAAAGGTACAAATATTTACATAAATAGAGATCTCACAGAGGATGAACGGTTCAAAAAACAGAATCTGTGCGCAGTAGCTAATGAGCTTAGAAGGTTGCATTGATGGATGTCAATCCAGCAAGAAATACCCTGGACTACACTGCAGTGGGTGTTGCCTTGCCGGTAAATTCTAATTAGCAATTGCCAGTGTGTCAGGTGCTTTCTTATAACGTAGCTAATTTAAAAAGTAAATTTAATCATAAGAATTTTTCACTTTTGTTAACTTATATGACATATGTTTTCTATTTGAAACACATGAACTGGTCGAAAACCAAAAGAACTTTACTTATTTCTTTCAAGATTATATACGTTATTGTGCTGGGTGGGAGCGTCTTAAATTCATAATGCTGGCAGAGTGAGTGGTGGTTGTGTTTATTGTTGTAAAAAAAGTTTAGAGAAGATATATTCTCTTACATTTCTAAACTTTGGTGATAATGTTGTTCTATATTCTTGTGCTAACAAAGTTGACTGTTTCTTCATTCCACGTTATTTAAATTGCACAAAATGGGAGGAAGAATTTTCTAAACTGGAACAATTTTTAAACTATTTTAATGAAACTGTTTACTGTAATGTTGGCGACTTAAATGCCCATGTAGCAGATAATCAAGTAGTTGATGATAAATTATTATCCGATTCCCCATTTATTGAGGCAAGAAGAGTATCAAAAAATGTGAAGCTTGACACCAAGGGAAGAAAACTTCTAGGCTTTCTGGAGAACATCGGTGGTGTTATAATTAACGGCAGGTGTCGAGGTTGTAACGACACGGATTCGTCGTTTTTAATTTTGCTGAGGTATCACTCAGTCGCGGTCCGGGTCGTCGCAATAAATTTGTTTATTGACCAGTTCGAAACTGGTAAACCAATGAGAGGAAAGTTAAAAGCCGTTTGATTTCTTTTATTTCAAAATTTATTCATTAAAAAGTTTCCAAAATAATTTATTCTAAGCTTGACTCTACTTCTGGCCAATGACGTCAGAACATCAGAGGCGTTATAAAATTATACTCAATATGTTTTAGCCAAAGACGTCAGAACATCAGAGGCGTTATAAAAATCTACTTAATACGTTCTAGCCAAAGACGTCAGAACATCAGAGGCGTTATAAAAATCTACTCAATGCGTTCTATGGATTTATTTAGCCTTAGCATCAAAACACTATGGGCTTCTAAAAAGGGGACTTAGCGCCGGAGTAGGTGACTACTCACTTCGGGATGCTGGCGCTAAGTGAATTTGCATACAAAATCTCTTCTATTTATATGCAATTATTCTCACATTATTAGTTGCACGCACAACCGCACAAGTGTAATTCCGCGTACATAAACAATTAATGCATTTTTTCGCGAGGTAACGGCTCTGTCGTGAGCTTGGCTTGACTTGTGCTGGCTATGCGTGTGGATGTTCGCTGCTGGCTCTGCTGTGCTGGCTGTGCGTGTGGATGTTCGCTGCTTGTTTGTTTAAAATATATAAATAGATTTTTATGCAGACGAAATTATTGCATTGTAATATTTTTATTAAGAGAATTTTAATAAAAATTATAATTTTATGTAGGGCGGAAATTTGTACAAAATTCCGTCCTTACATTTCCCTCCTTCTTCGTGAGATTTGAACTGGACTACTTCGTTGAATGGTTTCGTGTCCGCTTTCTAGGATTCCTAAAAACTTTGAGAAATTCATCTTGATGTGTACTGGTGTAATCATAATCCTACTCACGTGGGCTTGCTGAATCCTGTGCTCCGAGACAATTTTCTATTTCTTGGATCAGTGGCTTGGTTACCTTTTCTCTTTGTTGAGCAACGTTGAATTTTCCCTGAGATACCGGTTGTTCCTGTTCACGTGGTACATCTGGACTCTGACTTTTCGACTCTGTGGTGAGTTTTGAATTTCGCAGACGCTGTACATCTGGACTCTGAACTTGCAACTCTGTGATGAGTTTTGAATTTAGCTAACGCGGTACATCTGGACTCTGACTTTTCGACTCTGTGATGGGTTTTGAATTTCGCTGACGTGGTACATCTGAGCACTTACATGGTGTCTGCTCCTGTGGATTTTCTTGCTGGTTTATTCCCTGGGCTTTTAAATAATCTCGAGGTTGTACGCGTTGTGTCGTTATGCTTGACTTTGGTAGTGATGCTGAAGTCACATTTCTAGTTATAAATGCTGTTGCTTGCTTAATGGTTGATTGGTTCTGTGGCTGATTACTTAGTTTCTGATGAGAAATGGACGACTCAAAGCTTAGACTATGGATAATTTTATCCCGTGCTGGCATATTGGGTATGCTTCTCATTGTATTTTGTACCACCATCGCTTGAGGGGACTCGACTACCATGCGCCCTACGTTCACTTCTCGAACACGATGACGGCTCACTTTATCCTGTTCTGTGCTTAGTTCTTCGAAGTCATCGGCGAGTGTTTTTAATTCATTTAGGGTTGTAAAGTCTGAACGTTTAATGTACATCCGGTAGTCTGCCTTCATGTTTCGATACACTCACTCCAATTGCGAATCTGGACCCATGCCAGTGTGTCGCATTAGGTTTGTGGCGACGCAGTAGTCTGTGAGTTATTTGAAATTTAAATGTAAAATTCAATGTAAAATATATTCAGTTTATTAATTGTTTTTAAGGAAAACGTTTCCAATTTTGTTCTTAAATAAAGTTGTTTATTGTTGTTAAATTTTCGTGTCTTTATCTATTAGCAAAGTGTGGAGTCCTTTGTTAAAGTGGTGACCCCGACGTGATCATAACAAACGGTTACACCCACCAAAATTAGTTGAACAATATTTTTGCAAGTAACATTTTCAAGCAGCATGTCTTTGTCGACGGTTAACGAAGCCGCAGCAGTGCAGCGAGGGAGTGAGTTATCAGAAGGTAATCTGAGTCGCGTGTCCGTCAAGGTACCGCCATTTTGGCACGAACGACCAGAAATTTGGTTCGCGCAAATCGAGGCGTAGTTTGCAGTCGCCGCTATAACTAGCGACGTTACGAAATTCAATACTGTCGTCGCAGCGATTGAGTCCAGTGTCATTGCTGATGTAGCCGATGCTGTTTTACACCCGCCTGCAACTGGTAAATACAGTTACTTGAAGAACCAGATTATAGAGCGGTTTGGTGAAAGTGAGCAACGGAAGATCCAGAGGCTCCTTTCTGAGATCGAATTAGGAGATCGTCGACCATCGCAGTTGTTGAATGAGCTGATAGCACTAGCGAAGGATAAAGTTAGTAACGAATTCCTGAAGTCACTTTGGCTCCAACGTCTACCTTCGCAGGTACGTGCCATTTCACAAACATCAAGTGTTGATCTGGTAGAATTAGCTAAACTGGCTGATAGAATTTGTGAAGCGGGCGATTATCATCAAATAGCTGCAGCGTCATCTAGTGGAAGTAGCGTTTCGAACGAGACAGCCATGTTGTGCCAGCGTTTGGATCAAATTGAGCAGCGGTTAAGCAGATTGGATTTTGGTGGACGCCAGCCATCGAGAACGCAACAGCCCTCACGCAGAAAGAGCCGAACGCGATCGCAGTCCTCAAACCACTCCGGTTGGTGCTGGTTTCATAGTAGGTTCGGGGAGCAAGCACGCAGATGTCGTCAGCCATGCACGTATATATCCAATGCAAAGTCAAAAAACTAAGCATGCCGCAATCGACGTCGAGCCGATTGGAGGGCAACGTAATTATAGCTCGACTGACAATACGAGATCCGGCGACATCAACCGCATTTCTTATCGACACCGGAGCGGATCTTTCTGTACTACCGAAAAAATACGGTATCAAACGAGGTCAGTCAGTTGTTTCATTATTACCCAGCTTGTTTGCTGCTAATGGCACGCCGATACGCGCATACGGCACCAAATGTTTGTCATTATCCCTTGGTTTAAGGCGCGATTTCCCATGGACGTTTGTGGTGGCGGATGTTAACTATCCCATAGTCGGCGCAGATTTCTTGAGGTATTATGATTTACTTGTTGACATGAAACGGAAACAGCTATTGGACAGCAAAACGTTATTAGTAGCGAGAGGCGCGGCAGCAGTTGGGCAGGTGAACGGCATCCGAGCCAACTCTATTGCAGGTGACTACAGTTCTTTGTTGAATGAATATCGTGATCTAGCCACATTGTGTGATAATTCTCGCACGTGTGACACGCACGTTGAACATTTCATCGAGACTACTGGTGCTCCAGTTTTTGCCCGTCCACGACGTTTGTCTGGGATAAAATTGGAGGAAGCAAAGAAGGAGTTTGATTATTTGTTACGAAAAGGCATTTGTCAGCCGTCAAAGAGTCCTTGGTCGAGCCCATTGCATATGGTTCGGAAGAGTGATGGCTCGTGGCGACCATGCGGTGACTATCGTATGTTGAATGCACGAACGAAGCCGGACCGGTACCCGATCCCTTTCCTGCATGACGTAACAACCATTCTCCATGGAAAAAACATTTTTTCTAAGATTGATTTACAAAAGGCGTACCACCAGATTCCAATGGCGGAATGCGATATACCGAGAACGGCGATTACTACCCCTTTTGGGTTATTCGAGTTCCGTTTCATGACATTTGGCTTACGAAACGCAGCCCAGACATTTCAACGGTTTATTAACGCAACCTTGGCTGGACTAGATTTTGTTTTCGCATACATCGATGACATATTAATTGCTTCAAAAGACGCCGCAGAACATCGAGTTCATCTCCAAACCGTTTTTGAGCGTCTTCGTCAAGCTGGTCTGACAGTGAATTTTGCCAAGTGTGAATTTGGTTGCAGCGAGATCGAATTCTTGGGCCACTCCATCAGTGCACACGGTTTCAAGCCTCCCGAAAGCAAGGTAGCCGCAATTCGTGATTTCCACTTCCAACAACGATGAAGGAGCTTCGGTGCTTCCTGGGGATGATTAACTTTTATCGACCGTTTCTACGCAACGCCGTCAGCAGTCAGCGATGTCTGTTCAATCTCACTCCTGGGAATCGAAAAAACGATAATAGCAAGATTATCTGGAAGCCAGAAGACATTTCCGCATTCGAGTCTTGCAAGGCGGATTTAGCACATTCTACAATTCTCAACTTCATGGCGTCGGATTCTCAGCTAACGTTGACCACTGATGCGTCCGATACAGCAGTCGGTGCTGTTTTGCAGCAGATTGTAGAAGGCAAGTCGCAACCTTTGGCATTTTATTCGAAGGCGTTGAATACGGCGCAATTAAAATATAGCGCGTACGACAGAGAGCTTACTGCCATCGCTCAAGCTATACAGCATTTTAAGTACGCACTCGAAGGGCGCGATTTCATCATTCTGACTGATCATAAACCTCTTACGTTTGCATTTAAGCAGAACAGCGAGAAGACTTCGCCACGGCGCGTTAGGCAGTTGGAATTCATAAGCCAATTCTCCACTGACATCCGTCATATAGCTGGTGCAGATAATTGCGTGGCCGACACACTTTCGCGTATCGCTCAAATTGAATTTGAGGCAGCAGAAGTGGACTTAATAGCTAAAGCGCAAGTATCAGATGACGAGTTGCATGCATTACTTGAACATCAAGCTGACACATCTTTGAAGCTTGTTTCGTATAAGTTACCAATTTATAATACTGAGGTATATTGCGACATTTCCAAAGGTGTTGTGCGACCGTTCGTTCCAGCCAGTTGTCGTAAATTAGTGATGACAAAGCTACACAACTTAGCGCATCCAGGAGTACGAGCGACACGCAAGCTGATTCAAGCAGGTTTCGTCTGGCCAGGTTTAACAAAGGACGCAGTCGAGTTTGTTAAGAATTGTATCGCTTGCCAATTGTCTAAAGTTAACCGGCACACCAAATCACCTATAGGCTGTTTCGCAGGCGTAGATGAGCGTTTCCAACATGTCCATATGGACATCATTGGACCACTACCATTGTCGCAGGGTAAAAGATACTGTGTGACGTGCATCGATCGTTTTTCACGATGGCCCGTGGTTGTTCCTGTATCAGATATGACGACCGAAGTCATCGCCGGCGCGTTTATCGAAGGATGGGTAGCACATTACGGCGTTCCTCACATTATCACCACAGATTTAGGACGTCAGTTTGAATCAACGATCTTCCGAGAGTTGTCCAGATTATTGGGTATCAAGCACATTCACACGACAGCATATCACCCCCAAGCGAATGGGATGGTTGAACGTATGCATAGGACGTTGAAAGCTGCTTTGCGTTGCAATAACTCTAATGACTCGACGCGCACTCTCCCATTGATTCTGCTGGGGTTGCGGACTACCCCAAAGGAAGATCTAGGCGTCAGTTCCGCTGAAATGTTGTACGGAAACCCGTTACGTGTTCCAGGACAGCTATTGTTACAGAAACCGATTTCGTTTCAACACTTCGTAAAGCATTGGCTCAGCTGAAGACAATCAACGGTAGCAGACATGGACATCATCCAGTTTATGTTCCTAGCGACCTGCAAACCAGTAAGTTTGTATTTGTGCGTATCGATCGGGTGAGAGCTCCATTGGAACAACCGTATGAAGGACAGTTTCAAGTACTGCAACGAGGTTAGAAAAATTTTGTAATTAACAGAAGAGGGAGCAGGTGCACCGTGGCATTAGACTGAAGGAGCGCACTGGAGAATTTATTGAACTTCCATATGTTCCTGGTATTCCTCTTGATCCCGCCGACATTGTTCCTTGTCGCGATATTTGTTAATATTTTATACTCTGGATCTTAAATTTCCATTCAAGCCTTGACCACTGTGATTTGACAAATCAGGTCCCTGATAATTCTTTTTCTTTCCACTTGGACTACTATCGAACACTAGTCCCTGCTCGGGCGCCAATTGTAACGACACGGATTAGTCGTTTTTAATTTTGCTGAGGTATCACTTAGTCGCGGTCCGGGTCGTCGCAATAAATTTGTTTATTGACCAGTTCGAAACTGGTAAACCAATGAGAGGAAAGTTAAAAGCCGTTTGATTTCTTTTATTTCAAAATTTATTCATTAAAAAGTTTCCAAAATAATTTATTCTAAGCTTGACTCTACTTCTGGCCAATGACGTCAGAACATCAGAGGCGTTATAAAATTATACTCAATATGTTTTAGCCAAAGACGTCAGAACATCAGAGGCGTTATAAAAATCTACTTAATACGTTCTAGCCAAAGACGTCAGAACATCAGAGGCGTTATAAAAATCTACTCAATGCGTTCTATGGATTTATTTAGCCTTAGCATCAAAACACTATGGGCTTCTAAAAAGGGGACTTAGCGCCGGAGTAGGTGACTACTCACTTCGGGATGCTGGCGCTAAGTGAATTTGCATACAAAATCTCTTCTATTTATATGCAATTATTCTCACATTATTAGTTGCACGCACAACCGCACAAGTGTAATTCCGCGTACATAAACAAATAATGCATTTCTTCGCGAGGTAACGGCTCTGCCGTGAGCTTGGCTTGACTTGTGCTGGCTATGCGTGTGGATGTTCGCTGCTGGCTCTGCTGTGCTGGCTGTGCGTGTGGATGTTCGCTGCTTGTTTGTTTAAAATATATAAATAGATTTTTATGCAGACGAAATTATTGCATTGTAATATTTTTATTAAGAGAATTTTAATAAAAATTATAATTTTATGTAGGGAGGAAATTTGTACAAAATTCCGTCCTTACAAGGTGATGAAGATAGGGAATTTACATATGTGGGACCAAATGGGTCAACTGTTGTTGATTTCTGTATCTGTTCAATTCAGTTACTTAGTGTTGGAAATGTATAATCATAATTGAATAGTAGGCTATTCTTATTTGATTAATTGTATTTAACATTTGTAAAAATTTAGAAATTAATTGACTTTTGACTTCCGATAAGAATAAAGTTAAATTAATAAAACAGATATTAACAGTTGGCGACGAGGAAATGGACGCTCAGGCACTCGCGACAGTTCTAAAAGAATTCTCATTAGCAAATCAAGAATTTTTTGAGAGAATATTAAATAAAAATGAAGAAGTATTGAGAAGCGTGATTAACGAGAAAAAATCCGTTAGTTCAACTCCAACCTTTCGACGGTTTGAGAAAAATGTTGAAAAGTGGTCGGTGTATATTCAACAGATGTATTAAAACGCGCATGTTTCCTTTCGTGGATAGGTACAGAGACCTTTGAACTTATTCAAAAGTTATGTGACAACAATATTGAGAATAAGTCTTTTGGTAAACTACTATCAAAATTGGATAATCATTTTGCGGAAAAACAGCATATATTAGCAGCACGTTTTAAATTTCATTCAATACGAATGAAAGCAAATCAATCATATGCTTAGTGGGTGGCAGAACTGCTTGGTGCGGCTAAAGAGTGCATGTTCCTATGTACGAGTGAGGCTTGCCAGCAATCGTTTATAGATAATTGTATACGAAATATGGTTGTGATACACATACCACATGATAAAGTCCATAGTGCCGCGTTGCAGACTACAAAACTATCGCTAGAGGAAGTACTGCAGATAGCAGCAGTATATGAAGCAACGGTTAAAACATGTAAAGAAATTCGAGGTGAAGAAATCGGACAAACAGTTAATGAAGTTAATTACAGTTCAAGTAAAAAAGTTAAACAGAATCGAAATAATATTAAGTCCCGAAATTCAGTGAAGGGAGGACAATCGTGTCCAGGTTGTGGAAAAGCACATCAAAGAAATCAATGTTATCATTACAAGAACAAAACAATGTGTCGGTTATGTACAAAGCAAGGTCATATTGCTGCAGTTTGTCAATCAGCAGTGACAGGGAGTCAGCAGAATTCTAATTTTAAGGCTCGAAGACAGGAACAAAATAGAGCAAGAGATGTATATTCTATGAGCGATGTTTCATTTGAGTCAATTAATGCGAATGAAACAACGGAAGTTAAATCAGTTGATTCGCAACTTAGTTCATCTAAAATTTTCGTTGACCTCAATATAAATAATAAAATTTTAACATTTCAAGTAGATACTGGTGCAACATGTTCATTAATTGGTTTAACGTCATATAAACAACTGGGAAGGCCTAGTTGTGGGCCTACGAATAAAGTTCAGAGAGCGTATGGAGGAGCTGTTATTTTTCTTAAGGGTTCTCTTAGAGTAAATGTTAAGTATGGAAATATTACTCGAAACCTTGAGATATTTGTAGTTAACGATGAAAATGTTACTAACATACTAGGATTGGAGTGGTTTACAGTATTAAATTTTAAACTACAGTTACCTGTTATTGAATGTTATGCAAATAATCCTTGTGAATCAAGTCAACAAAGTTTAACCGCATCTCTACATGAACTCAGATGTCAACATGCTAACATTTTTTTTCGAAATTGGGGCGATGTACGTTGTTCAAAGCTGAAATCAGATTGAAGTCAGATGCTAAGCCTAAATTCTTTAAACCATACAATCTGCTGTTTGCAAAAAGAGAAGTCGTTCGCATCGAAATTGATCGGTTGGTAAATATTGGAGTTTTGAAAGCTTTCAGAAGCAGCGTCTGGGCCGCTCTTATAGTTGTAATGTCAAAGCCAAATGGGAAATTACGTATTTGTACAAATTTCAAAATTGGTGTGAATTCGCAAATTGAGATTGACAGGTACCCAATTCCTAGAGTTGAGGAACTTTTTTATAAACTTCAAGGAGGACAATTTTTTACAAAAATTGATTTTAGTGAAACGAACTTGCAAGTAGAATTGTCTGACGCAACAAAAGAACTTCTAGTAATTAATACGCCATTTGGTTTGTTCCAGTTTCAACGATTGCCACTCGGTATTGGCAGTGCTCCTGGCATATTTCAACGTCTTATGGAGGAAGTAACCGCCGGAATACCGAACTGTGCAGTTTATTTAGATGATATAATCGTAACAAGTCGAAATAATAAAGAACATTTGAATAATGTTTTCAAAATTTTTCAACGTTTGGAAGAATACGGCTTGACATGTAAAAGCGAAAAATATAGTTTTGCGCAAGAGCAGGTGGATTATGTTGGAAACGTAATCAATGTGAATGGATTAATGCCCACTGGAAAACGTGTAGAGGCAATCAAATTGATGCCGCGTCCTCGTAATATTCAAGAAGTTGAAGCTTTCATTGGAAAAGTTAATTATTATTGTTTCTATTCAGTTAGTTTACTGATAACTTTTTCTTCACGTTTTCTTTATTACTTCTCAAAACCATATGCCGCCTTTTTACGTGTGCTTAAAGGCTACGACACAATTAAAAAATGACAAAATAAATAAAGGCCATGATACAATAAACCTTAATTCTAAACATATCGCCGCCTTTGATGGCTCCAGCAGATATCAACATTCAGATGGAATAGATGCCAATTTATGGATTGCTCGGCAAACCTCTCCATTCTTTGTTTTTACATCAGCAACTCGAACCCAACCTTTAGCATCTCTTGTCACTTTCAGCACTCTCCCAATAAGCCATTGCTTAGAAGGCAAATTTTCTTCTGCAATTAACACCATATCACCTTCATTAAGGTTCTTCTGCTTCTTAGTCCATTTGACTTTCTGTTGAAGTTCATGAAGATACTCCGCCGACCACCTTCTCCAAAAATGTTGTTGTATGGCCGAAATTCGTAGCCATCTATCTTTATGAGACCATTCTTCGCTATCCACAGTAGGTTCCACAGTTCGAACCAACGGACCACCTGTTAAGAAATGTGCCGGTGTAAGAACGCTTTCATCATTTGGGTCGTTAGACAAGGTTGTCAAAGGTCTTGAATTTAAAACTGCCTCTACTTCCGCAACCACTGTTGCCAGCTCTTCAAATGTAAGATGCGATTGACCCAATATTCTAGCCAAATGATATTTTGCTGATTTTACAGCCGCTTCCCATAGTCCACCAAAGTGGGGGGATCTGGGTGGTATATGATGAAATTCAATACTATTGGCAGTACAATATTTTGAAATCTTGCCCTGTACTTGTTGATCAAAAAACTTGCATTTCATTTCCTCGAGCTCTTTACGAGTACCCACAAAATTAGTGGCATTGTCGCAAAATAATTTTAAGCATAAGTCGCGTCGAGCTACAAATCTTTTTAATGAAGCCAGGAAAGCCTTTGCAGTCAAATCAGATACCACCTCCATATGCACAGCTTTTGTGGCAAAACAAATAAAAACAGCAATATAGCTTTTTGTTGTTCTGTACCCACGAAGTAGATACGTTGTTGTAATAGGGCCGCAAAAGTCCACTCCAGTCACAGTGAATGGCCTCGCTACGGTGACTCTAGAAGAGGGTAAATCGCCCACAATCTGATTATTCAATTTTGAATGGCATCTAAAGCATTGTAGACAACTACCAGTAATTTTGCGAATTACTCCTCTAGCATGAAATATCCAAAATCGCTGCCTAACTATAGCCATAAGCGCTTGCGTACCAGCATGCAAATATTTGAAATGAAGAAATCGTATAAAACTGCAAACGATTTCTGAGTTATTCGGTAACAAAATTTGATGTTAAGCATCATATGGTAATGTAGCCTTCGCTAATCTCCCACCAACACGTGGTAGCGGAACACCATAAGTATCTTTTACAAAAATGCTAAGATTTTTATATTTACTGTTTGCTGGCAATTCTCTATTCTTCAATAGCAGCTCAATTTCTTCTTCGAAATAATGTTGTTGCACACAGTAGAATATACGCACTAGTGCTTCATCTAATCTTTCAGTCATAGACTTAACGCTTCTTCGAAAGCTAAGAAGATTGGCAAAAATTCTTTGTAATTTTTCAAAATCGCTGAAGGTTTTAACCCACGTCACAAAAGAAAATTTCGAGTTATCCTCAGAGTATGCCTCATAAGGAATTTTTTTTTTCAAATAATTAACAGTCATTATCGTACTATTACGACTCCTTTCTTGGTCAGCATGTAACGACACGGATTCGTCGTTTTTAATTTGCTGAGGTATTACTCAGTCGTGGTCCAGGTCGTTGCATTAAATTTGTTTTATTGACTAGTTCGAAGCTGGTAAACCAATGAGTGGAAAGTAAGAGACCGTTTGTTTTTATGTTTTTAAAATTTATTTATTAAAAGTTTTCTTAAATAATTTACTCTAGTCTTGATTCTACTTAATAATTTATTTTAAGCTTGACTCTGCTCAATAAGTTTTACCCAAAGACGTCAGAACATCAAAGGATTTTTTCCAAATTTACGCAATTAGTTTTTAGCCAAAGACGTCAAAACATGAAAGGCGTTATAAAATCTATTCAATAAGCTTTATCCAAAGACGTCAGAACATCAAAGGGTTTTTTTCCAAATCTACGTAATTAGTTTCTAGCCAAAGACGTCAAAACATCAAAGGCGTTATAAAATCTACTTAATACGCTCTACGAATTTATTTAGCCTTAGCGTCGAAACACTATAGGCTTCTAAAAGGGACTTAGCGCTGGAGTAGTGGTCTACTCACTTCGGTGTGCCGGTGCTAAGTGATATTTTATATAAAAATCTCCGCTATTTATATGCGACACTTTGCTTTGCTTAATTGCACGCACAACCGCACAAATATCATTCGCTGTTGGCTTTGTTTTGCTTGTCGTGTGTGCGTATGTTCGCGGTTGGCTTTGTTTATTTGTTTAAATAATTTTTTACGTAGACGAATTTTAGTAAAAATAGTAAGTTTATGTAGGGCGGAAATTTGTACAAAATTCCGTCCCTACAAGCATTAGTATTCTTTCTAGACTTATTTGGTGGCCACTCACAACAATCTCTCTTCAAGAAAGAAGGACCTGCAAACCAAATAGAATTAGATAGTTCATCTACATACACACCTCTTAATATTATATCCGCTGGGTTAGACTTTGAAGGAACATGCCGCCAAATACACGTTTTTGTCTACTCTTGAATCAATGATACCTAGTTGGCAACAAATGTGTTCCAATTTGATGGATGCTCGCTCAGCCAATCTAGCACAATTTCGGAATCCACCCATAAATAGGTCGCGTCAATAGAAATTGGAAAATTGGATTTGGTTTTTGTCACTAGTTTCGACAGCAATTTTGCAGCCAAAAGTTCCAATTTTGGTAAAGATAAAGTTTTTAATGGCGCTACTCTGGATTTAGCACTCCACAACTGCATTGTAACGTCATTGTCCACACATATTGAGCGAATATAAAAACAACACCCGAAAGCTCTTTTTGATGCATCAGCAAATCCATGCATTTCAACTCTAGCAACTCTTTTTTCTGCCAAAACAAATCGAGGCACACTTATTTTCTTGACATCTTTTAGATTTTCGCGGAATTCTATCCATTGACTATGTAAATTCATTGTTGGGATTTATCCCAATTAGCCTTCAATATCCACAAATCTTGCATAAAAATCTTCGCCTTTATGATTAATGGGTTAATAAGTCCAAGGGGATCAAACAACTTAGATAGTTCCGACAACACTATTCTTTTTGTCACCGCTTTCGAGCTATCAAAATCTGGCCAAACGTATTGAAACGTATCTCCCACTGGAGCCCAGATGATACCAAGAGTTTTTATTATTTCCTCATCATTCATCCGAAGAGTCTTTTCTTTATCAGCTTCAGGTACGAAATTAAGAAATTTTTCACTATTTGAAAACCACTTCCTTAACTTAAATTTTGCTGAGTTCATTACTACTGATACTTGATTATATATTTCAAAAATTTCATCTTCATCGTTTGATCCACTGATCAAATCATCCATATAAAAATCAGATAACACCTTTCTCGATCCAATCGGATATTTATCGATATAATCTTCACTTAACTGTTTTAAGCATCTTGTAGCTAAATAGAGGGCAGATGTTGTACCATACATAAGTAATGGTTCGCAAGCGATAGGCCTTTATGTTTTCGTCTGAGGAAGACCTCCACAAAATCGTTTGATAATTCGCATCATCATCAGTCACCCATGCTTGGCGATACATTTTTGTTACATCTGCCGTAATTGCATATTTGTAACATCTAAATCGCAGTGTTATAGATAAGAGGTCATCTTCAACCAGTGGTCCTTTCATCATTACCTCATTAATTGACAAGCCACTGTCAGTTTTACAGCTGCAATCGAACACAACTCGAAGTTTCGTACTTGTGGAGTCTGGTCGTAGCACATACTGATGCGGTGCAAAATATTTTATCTTATCCATATCAGCTTCTTCAACGATCGTCATGTGACCTAAAGAGAGGTACTCATCCATAAATGCGTTGTAAACGTCTCGTGTAGAGCGATCTCTACTCAACCTACGCTCTAGTGACAGCAACCGTCGTTTAGCAGCATTATAGGAACCACCCAAATCACTCACTGTTGTTTTAAATGGAATTTTTGTAATAAATCGGCCAGATGTATCTTTACGAATTGATTCACGGAAAATTTTCTCGCATTCCTCTTCTTCTTCGGTTAAAAAATTTGATTTAGTTGAAATCTGTTCTATTTTCCAGAATTTTTCAACCAATTGACTCAAGTTTTCATTCTCATTATGGTTGTGATTGACTAGCATATTATTTATTTTATGACTAGGCGCTAAACATTCTTCTGCTTTGCCTGCAACTATCCACCCTAGTATGGATTTCTGTAGGGTTGGCAACCTTACATTAAGATAAATTCGTCCAATCGACAACAAATCGAAGAAAATTTCCGCACCAATTAAAATATCTATACGCGCTGGCTTAATGAACATTGGATCAACCATTTGAATATTTTTTTGGTAAATTCCAGTCCGCAACATTAACATAACGATTAGGTTTGGAGCTTGTTATTTTCGGTAAAACATAAAATTGCAGACTGACTTCGAACTCATTTATTCTTGATTTGATGGTAGCCACAGTCTTTGTTTTAAAGCTAGTTACAACGTCTCCAATACAGCTAGCATCTAATTTACAAGACGTTTTTTTTAATAACAGTTTTTGAGCAACTTTCTCACACATCAAATTTACTTGAGAGCCAGAATCTAATATGGCTCGCATTTGGTGATATTTGCCAAACTTGTCCGCTACCATTACTTCGGCTGTTGCAAAAAAAACCTCGTTTTCAGTCATTACGTTCATAACTGATGACTGAGCTGTCTCCTGTGTTGACGTAGATGGCCAATTTTTGCATCTTTGTTCATTTGGCTCCAAGACATAATCTTTATGTAAAAGCTGATGATGAGATAAATTACATTTCGAGCATTTAACAGCAGAGCATTCTTTTTGAAGGTGTCCCCTTTTCAAACATGTAAAACATACCTTTATTCTCCGTGCTACGATAAAGCGTTCTTTTAAGGAAAGCTTTCTAAACTTGCTACAATCTGCAATATCGTGGCCACTGCCATTGCAGACTTCACATAAAGGTTTTGTAACTGCAAGAGAGGTTGAGTAGTTGCGGTTATTTCTATACTCTTTTTGATAGTTTACAGCCTTTGAATTCACTTGATTAACTTTATGTTCCCTTACATCCAGGTTCTCACATCGCCTCGTCAAAACCGCTGAACATTCATTCCAAGTTGACAGCTTCCTGTAATCCACTGATTCTTCCCATTTGACCTGTGAATCTTCGTCCACTCTTTCCATCACCAAATGAATTAACATGGCATTCGCTATATCTTTGTAATCACCTAATGATAGCATTGCATTCAGATGTGCATTCGCTGCATTTAATACATTTCTTAAATGAACTGCAGATGGTTTTGTTAATTTTGGGATAGCAAAGAGGGCTGTAATATGTTCCTCAAACATCAACGCCTTTTTATCGAAGCATTCCTTCAATCGATCGAGTGCTTTGGGGTAATTGTCCTCTGTGACATCAAAATCGTCAATAGCTGCCAGCGGCTTAGAGCCCATGTGCTCTTTAAGTATCACAAATCGTTCCCAGTCATCAAACATTTCATCATGGTGAATTAATTTATTAAACATGGCTATAAGTTTCGGAAATTCGCTATACTTCCCTTCAAATTTCGGTAATTTTACTTTCCAACGAATTCTTGAGCCCGGCAATAACGATGTTGTATTCGTTGCATTGACATCTACCAGTGATAGCTTTCTTTTTTTTAGTAAACTCATTATTTTTGCTTTCGTGGCCACAAATGCATCTTCAACTTCTGCTGTAATTGCTTCGCTTGAAGAAGTATCTGCACCTTGGTTTAGTTTGTCGATATCTGCTTGCACACTCAGAAACTGTTTGAAGTAATTTTCTGTCAAACTAAGCCTGCAGTTAAATTCTTCTGTTGACAAACTTGACCCTTTTTTCAAAATCATTGATTTTATGCGCATGACGTTGCCTTTGGTGCTGCCTCTCAACGCCTTCAATTCCGCCAGTTTCTTAGACCCTTTCTGCACGCCTTCTTGCTTCCCGTCGCTGAGTTCATGAATTTCTGAGTCCAACATTTTGCAATTATGTTTTTTTTTCTGGATCACTATCCCTTTTCTGGATCACTATCCCTTTTATGGATCACTATCCCTTTTATGGATCACTATCCCGGGTTTCGGCACCAATGTTTCTAATCAGTTAGTTTACTGATAACTTTTTCTTCACGTTTTCTTTATTACTTCTCAAAACCACATGCCGCCTTTTTACGTGTGCTTAAAGGCTACGACACAATTAAAAAATGACAAAATAAATAAAGGCCATGATACAATAAACCTTAATTCTAAACAATTATAACAAATTCATTAAACAGTTTTCCATATTAGCTGCTCCCTTAAATGAACTAAGGAAAAAGAATGCTGTGTTTAAATGGACAGCATATCATGAAGATGCTTTTCAAGCATTGAAGAATGCTATGATCAAAGCTACGGAACTCGTTCATTATGATGATAAGAAGCCTATAGTGTTAGCAGTAGATGCATCTAAATATGAAATCAGCGCAGTAATTTCACATCGTTATGCTGATGGTTCAGAGAAGCCAATCGCGTATGCTTCAAAAAAATTAAACAGTAGCCAAGAACGCTATTCTCAAATCGAAAAAGAGGCATTAGCAATAATTTACGGAGTGACCAAATTTCATCAATATCTTTATGGAAGACGTTTTGAATTAATAACTGATCATCAAGCGTTGACAACACTGTTTAATCCGAGTAGAAAGTTGCCAGTGATGGCGTTGCATCGCTTACAGCGTTGGGCTATTGTACTTCAAGCATATGAATACATTATACGGTTCAAAAGTTCATCTCAGAATGATAACGCTGATGCCATTTCCAGATAGCCATGTGGGGATGACATACAATTTGATAGAAAGGAAGTTGTGATGTTAGATGATGTCGATACTGTTTATCAAAATGCTAGAAAAGGATATGACTGCTAATGACAACACTCTTCAACGTGTTAGCAGATATGTACAAGATGGCTGGCCTAAACAATTGCCGAAATCTGAAGGTAGTATCAAACCGTACTTTAATTTTGCTTATCATTTCAGAATGGAATGTTACTTCTTCAAGCTGAATATACTAGAGTGGTGCTACCGAAAGCACTGCAATCTCAAGTATTAAATTTGTTACACGAGGGTCATTGGGGTAAAGGTCGAAGGTCTTCCGTGCACTATTGTGACAGACAATGGAACACAATTCACGTCCAATGAATTTCAAAAGTTTTGTGAAATGAACGCAATTCAGCATCTCACGTCTGCTCCTTTTCATCCGACTTCGAATAGGTTAGCGGAAAGACATGTGAGAACTTTTAGGGAAGCAGTAACAAAAATTATGAAAGAGGAACAACATATTGACAAAGCGTTGTATAAATATCTTACAACGTACAGAACTACTCCAAACTTAACAACTGATAAATCGCCAGCAGAGTTGTTACATGGGCGGCAACCAAGAACCATTTTATCGGCGTTGTTCCCGAAAGTTATGGAGACTATGAAAACTCAAAATAGAAGCAAATTCGGAGTTGGAGAGAAAGTGTTAGCTCGTAATTATTCGGGACCGCATAAATGGATCAGGGCCGTGATACAGAAATTGCTGGGAAATAAAATGTATTTTATTCAAACTGAAAATGATTACATAAAACGACATCAAAATCAAATACGTCGAAATTTGTCGTCATCGCATTCAATTCAGCTTAGGGCAGATAATGTTGATATTGATTTAGATTTCGGTAGTCGGACACCACCGGTTGAGGAAAGAACAATTAATACTGGATCCGACCCGAAACATAGTCAAACAGAGAAAGATGACAAAATGGGGACTGATGAAACAAAAACCATTACTGGATTTGACTTGGAACAGAATCAAAGAGAGAAAGACGACAAAGTAGAGTCCGACGACAGATATGGGTCCACACACACTGATCAGTTGCCAGTTCAATTAAGACGGTCGGTTAGAAAGAGAAGACAACCTGTTCCTTTTAATCTAGTATAAACAAAATTCAATGTAATGTTAAACATTATTTTAGTGGTTTAAAAAAATTAGGTCCAAGAGAATGTTGAAAATGTATTATCAATTGAATAGTATCCTTATTTGATTAATTGTATTTAACATTTGTAAAAATTTAGAAATTAATTGACTTTTGACTTCCGATAAGAATAAAGTTAAATTGATAAAACAGAAATTAACACTTAGATACATAAACTTTTTACATGTTCTTTGGAAATCATACTCTGATCACATGCCGCTGGTTATTGAGTTTCGTTTTCCATTAAGTTGGGAAGTAATTCCGAAAAACGTACGTTCCGAAAAAAAAGCGTGGGCAGGTAGATACAGAGAACGGCTAGAAATGACAACTTGTTCTGATTATATAAGTACTAATATGCAGATTAATGTTAAATTGGATGTATTTCTTGAAAAAGTTCACGAGGCGTGGGGCAACCAGACATTGAAAATGCGTTTTGACCCCAAAAATGAATGGTTTGATAACCAGTGTCATAAACTCAGAACAAAATGTTTCATTTTCTTAATTTAGTTCGAAAATACAATCTAGAAACCCATCGTGCTTCTAACTTTGCACTTAGATCTCGATATGCATACTTCTGCCGTAATAAAAAACTTCAATGGCAATTAAAAAATATTGAAGCACTTAATACTGTTAAAAATGCTTTAGACTGGTGGAATCTCGCAAAAAATTTGGAAAACAGTCCCCTCAAAGTAATTAATTCTCTACAATGTGAAGACTTTAAGTGAAGAAGCACTTAAACTGTTAAAAATGCTTTTGACTGGTATAATCTAGCACAAAATTTGAAAAACAGTCCCCTCCAAGTAGCTAATACTCTACAATGTGAAGACTTTCGTATTCAATATGAATTCCTGCTTACATGCAATTCCGACCTTCCAGTTATCTCTTGGTGTCTTCCGCCTTTTGTCAATTCTTTCCTTGATTCTCTTTTTGAACTTCGTGAACTCCAGCTTGTGCTTGCTAACACCAAATCTAATAAAATATCAGGTAACGACAGTATTCTTTATGAGTTCTACAAAAATGCTCTTTCTGGTTTCCTTAACGAGTTACTTACGCTATATAATTATATATTTCTTCACGGTGTCATACCATCTTCGTTTTCAAAATCGATAATTCAACCCATGTTTAAAAGATGAGATCCCAATATAGTGACAAATTATTGTGGATTATCATTGCTGGACTGTATATATAAAATATTTATTAGTATACTACTTTCGCGTATGAATAACAATAATAATAGCTGGGTTGAGCTCAATAATTTCTTAAATGAATACCTAGCTGGATTTCGGAGATCTTACTCAACTGTTGATATATTTTTAATCTAACCTCTATTATACACTTAAATTTAATGCACATGTGGATTTTTCATGTGGGATGGTAATCTTATGTCTTCTTCATTTAAAGTTACTCAAGGTATAAAGCAAGGATGTCTGCGCAGCTCGATTTTGTTCTCCCTGTACTTAAATGATCTGCATGACTTTTAAACTTAGAAATAAAATTATTTATCAGCTAGCAGACAAACCAAATTAAAAAGCTTTTAATAATAATTAATAATAATAATAATAAAATAATAATTAAAATTATATTTAATGTTTACGGTGATAAATTTGCTTATATATGTTAATTTTTGTGAACATTTATAAATGTTTTGTTAATTTTTTAAAAGAAATTTGAATAAGATTATTATATACCTAAAAAATTTTTGCTTTTTACGAAAATGAAGCACTGATGAAGTTCCAAAAAACAGAACGAAATATATGCTGAAAAGTTTTAAATAAAAGCTTTTTAATTTGGTTTGTCTGCTAGCTGATAAACAATTTTATTTCTAAATAAAATGATATCAGATGATAAAAATACAAACACAATGACTTTCTAACGAGTAGAATAGCTATTCTACTGATGTATTGCAAATTATGATAGATGATTTATTTAAGTGTTGTTCACAATGGGGTCTTATCGCGAATCTAGATAAATCTAAGAAAATGATTTTCAGAAAAGGTCCTAGAGTAAGTAATTCGTTGTCGTGGAAATTTGGGGAAAGGCAAGTAGAAATTGTCAATGAATATAAATATCTCGGAATATTATTTACGTATAACCTTTTCTACAATAAACATTTGACCTCTAAACTCTCCTTAGGTAAAAGTGCAATTAACTCGACATGGACAAAGTATTTGTCTAATCCTAAAATAACTTTTATAAATAAATTGAAAATTATCTACACGGCAGCACGTTCGATTGTACTTTACGGAGCCAAAGTTTGGGGTAACAAACACTATAACATAATCAAGTGGAAAAACTTTTTAGATTTTTTATAAAGAAGATACTATTTCTGCCCACTTACACCCCCAACTATATGCTCTACTTAGAAACGGGATTACCGAAAAAGTTCTTAGACACAAAACAAACACATTTCGCATATGTAAGAAAAATTCTTAATCTCACCCCCCCAAACTTCCACGAATATTGGCTGAACTTATAATTAGCAAAGGTATATATTGGGCCAAAGATTGGGAAAACAAGTGTTTAGAACTGGGTGTTGTTGTGTCAGCCCAGATGGTTTATTGTAGTACTTAAGTGCCCTGTATGACATGGTGGCAAACCCGGTATGCTCGCCGGTTTAGGGGTGGGGTTCTTGGCTACTCAAATCCTACTGCTGACATCTAACAAAAAAAAAACATGTCATGAATTACTTCCATCCATTTCAGTAACTAAACAAATAAACTATATCTTCAATTCAAAGCTTAACTATATCCTCTTCATAGGTATATATACATATACTCCTCTATTCACTTACTATAACTAGGTAGATTAATAACTATAACTAAAACTAATATATATCTTTCAATTTCAAAACTTGAATATATAATCCTAATTCTTTATAATTAATTTTTTTTTTATTTTCTTTTTGTTTTTTTTTACAGTTTTGGTTTCTTAAATTTGAAAAAGCATTCATCGTAGAAGATAGGCATTGTTTTTTTCCATTTGAAATTATTACACG